CTCTTCCCTGCCCAGAAGACGGCTCAATTAGCCGTCTGCCGAGGCAGAAAGACAGGATAGGATAGTAAATATTGAAAAACCATAATACAATTGATCTGGATGTGGATGAAGTGACAGTAGGATGAGAGGAAAAGAGAATAGAATGGAGGAAAATTGGTTCCAAAGAAGGGTTTAAGCTATAGGTAAATGAACAAGATGGATTAGACTGATGGAAGTTGATGAAATGATTTAACAAATTATACTCTGATCAGTTGGAATATAAAGATAACCAACATTATTGTTTTGATATCTGTGACTTAATTTAAGACATTAAGCTTAAATTACCATTTGGTTAAGCTGATCTGTCTTTAGATCTTAGAATATTCTGCATCATTAAACTACAAATTGTCAGCATATTGATGTAGTGTATAAAGTAAATTAATGGCTTCTAGTAAAATAACAAGATCACAGGCACAGGCACAAGCCCAGGTGCAACTAACGCATAGACCAGGGGTAGGCAACCTTTCCCCTTTAAGGGCTGAGGGACTTCAGCTGCCAGAATCCCAGGAGCTATTGGCCATCATGGGACTATTGGCCAACATGGCTGAGGCTTCTGGGAGCTGAAGTCCCTCGGCCCTTAAAGGGGAAAGGTTGCCTACCCCAGGCATAGACCTTCAATAGAACAATCTAAAGTAATGAATTCAAATTTATTTTTGCTTGAGGAAATAAGGAAAATTAGAACTGACCTGAGTAAAGAAATTCAAGACTTAAGACAAGAGATGACAGACTTGAAGACTGAAATTAAAAATGAATTAAGGGATGACTTAAAGGGGGTTAGCATAGCCTTAGATAAGATGTCAACGGAGATGAATAAGATCAAAAATAAAATGGAAAATATTGAAGCAAAACATGAGAACTTTGAGGAAAACTTAAAGGAGATAAAACAAAACAAAAAGACTTAGTAGAGGACAATGCAATGAAAGTTCTGCAGGCTCGTGAAAGGTCGTTAAAAATAAGAGGAATACCCAAACAAGAAGGAGAAAATTCATTGCAAAAAATGGTACAGATTTTGGGGAAATATTTGGGCAAAGATCTAGAGATGTGCAAGATGGATATTGATAATTTATATAGATTGAGCTCTTTTGCTGCGAAACAAAAACAGGTCCTGAGAGACATCGTTATCACCTTTGTTAGGAAACAGTTAAGAGAATTCCTTATTATAAGGCGGATCTCATTAGTGGGAAGGCAAATAGATAGAATTGTATAAAGATATACCTCCCATGATTATGAGAAAAAGAAGAGAATATTTTTTAAAGATTTTTGCAGATTTTATTGATATTAGTTTAATACTTTTTTAATGGGGAGGGCAGGTTTGGGGGTTTTAGCTCATAAATTGATGTATTCTTAATTGTTGTAAGCTGCCCCAATTGTTTTTAACAGAGGGGCGGGGTATAAGTAATTATTACTTGGGAATTCCTGCATGGCAGGGGGTTGGACTGGATGGCCCTTGTGGTCTCTTCCAACTCTATGATTCTATGATTCTATGATTCTATGATTATTATTATTATTATTTATATAATTTTCTGATGGCAATCCTTAGAGAGCTGCAAATTATTTACATATGGAAGATATCTGAAGTTTTAATTCTCTGGTTTCAAAAGAAAAGAATTGAGATAAGATCAATGCAAGAAGCCAGAGAATTTTACAAATGTCTAGCAATAGGAATAGCTTTTTAAAAAAGCTGGACACCTTGAAATTAGCTTCACTAAATATAAAAGGCTTAAATGGAAGTGCAAAAAGAGGAAGAGTATTCCATTATTTGAAGATGCATGAGTTTGAGATTTTATGCTTGCAAGAAGTCAGGATAAAGAAAGCTGACATAAGACTTCTTCAAAACCCTAAGTTGGGTAAAGTGTTTGTTTCAGCAGCGGAAAAGAAGAAAGGTGCTTCCCTGTATGTTAAAATGAAATTATGATGCTTTAGAGGTGTTAAATTATAAGCAGGGTCAATATGTAGGAGTTCATATTGTTTTGGAGGGAAAAAGAGTGTGATGAACAGAAAGACAGCAGGGAGCTGTGAAGACCAGAAAACAGTTGACCAATCCTGAGACAGCTGGAATCAGCCAATGAGAGAGCAGCTGGAAGGAGATAAATAGCTCAGGCGGTGAGTGATATAGTCAGTTTGGGAGTTAGGCAGTTAGGAATTGTGGAACAGAAGGCTCGGAACCTTCGAAAGTGTCAGCTGGATCTGACTTAGACAGAGGTACAGTGAAGCAGTACTTTAAGCCAGAGGCTGAGGATTGTTCCTGAGGGAAATAAGTGGAACAAAGATAAGAGCCAAAAGAAGAAAAAAGAACTCTTTGTGGTTCAACAGAGCTCTAGTGTAGAGAGTATCTGTGTGGTTAGATTGTAGAAACAGCTGAAGGATTGTATTTGAAATAGCTACAATACACTTGAAACTGTAACCAGGTTATATTATTAACAAGTTTGAAAACAAAGAAGCCGTGCCTGTATGTTTGAAACACAATAAAACATTCTTCTATTTTATAAAAACCTATTTTGGCCTCTGTGTGAGAATTTTGAACAAATACTACCAGTGTGTTATTAATAGTTATTGAACCGGGAGATGATGAGGACTATGAAGCCAGTCACATAAAATTCTAAAAGAGAGAAATAGTCAAGGTGGCAGGAGTGGTTCGTCACATAATTATTTTGGTGGCAGAATCAGCGGGAAGGGATCCAGTGTCTACAGGTAGTTTGGCCTTGGAAGTTGAAAGTCCAAGAAGCCAAAGGATGTTTGTAAGGGGTCTAAGTTCAAGGAACCAGAAGCCCAGATATATTCTGAACAGGAGAGGAAAAGTTCAGAGAATTATTTTAAAGTAAAAGATTCAAGTGTCAGGGGAGAAGTCTCTGAGGTAACGGTGAAAAGGTGAATGGTAAGAGACTACTCGGAAACTGACCGCCTTAGAGGAATATTTTGGCCAGTCCCTGAGGTAATTTGATGAGGAACTGGTAGGGGACTATGCATGTGTGGAAACACAAATAAAGTAGCAGTGAATAAAGCCGCTCCAGGTTGGAGAAAATACCTAAAGTCGAAACATATTAGAAAAGCCAAAGTTAGTAAAGTAAGCTCTGAGGTATTTGTCCAGGGTTAATTGTAGGACATTACTTGGGCACTAACTATTTGGAGAACTACCTAGGGCCTTTGGAGACTGCTAGAAATAGTGCAAATTGAGTACACTTTAAGGGTTAGGGTTAGGGAATCATGGGAACTGTTTTTTATTGTGGCACCAGAGCTCTCTGACAGAGAAGGCTCAATGTCTCAGAAAAAAAACAATTCCCATGATTCCCTAGCACTAACCCTAACCCTTAAAGTGGACTCAATTTGCACTATTTCTGGCAGTCTGCAAAAGCTCCTAGTCTTTGAGGTAAATGCATTAGTATCAGTTAGAGATTAGGGGTAAAAACCAAGTGGGTTTTTATGTTCGAACAAGGATTTGAAACCTGGCCTTCAGAGGCATAATCCAACAGTCAAACCACTACACCATTCTAGCTCTTCAGAGAAAGTTCAATTATTGAATGGTAAATCAACAAATTGAATGGGTCTACTCTAGCTAGAATTGGATTTAATCCAAAATCCTGACAGTAATTGTCCATGTTTCTTTCACTTTTGTAAACTTCATTTCATATGCTCCAACTCTCCCAGTTTAACAGGAACAGTCCCAATTAATCCTCTGTCATCCTACTTTTTCTACTGCTTTCAAAACTTTCCTCCTCTCACTTTTCCCCTTTGTCCTCATCTTATTTTAGTTATGGAATACTGAATACAATGCACAAAATTATTTTGCATTCAAATCAGATTGGGGGGAAGAGATTTGGGGGTGAAATCTCCTTCCCATTAAGCTCAGGCAAAAGCAAGCTGCTGCATCTTCTCCTAGCTTGTCTGTTCTTCCTCATTAATGTTTGTCATCTTGACCACATTCTGATGTTGCTTGGCCATATGCATCCCAATTTTCATCTGTGAAATGTTGGAAAATGTCATTTCATGGAAACCATTTGGTTTTATGATTTAACTGGTAGCCATTTGAAGCTACCTGTTTTTACAATGCATATGTTTTTGTAGTCATGCAGTGACTGAGAGTTTCTGACAAGGACCCTGTCCCCCTAAAGAATAATTAGGGGCCTGGAAATTCTGATGTAACTTTGCAATGTCTGGGGACGAATTATCTGTCAGTGCCCACGTTATCACTCCTATTTGGAGCCATCATTTGAAGAATTTCTGCTACACAACAGAAAGTGATGGAAAATTTATCAATGACACATTTTGGAGGTGCTTCACCTCGAAAGAGTACGGAGACACAATTTCTCCAGTTAAGCAGAGTTTTCATATATGTGTGTGTGTGTGTGTGTGTGTGTGTGTTAAGGTTTCTATGGAAACGTGGCTAAATCTTTTATCTAATATCATTCTGGAAGCTTTGCAGAACTGTGGGGAAAAAAGTCCATAGACTGTCAAACCATTTTTATCCTGACATAGAGAGCATCAGCCATGCCTGTTCCGTAATAGAGTTTGCCACATAGGATGACGTGCATAATGTAAGGTACCTAAAAAAGGCACATTCTAAAATTGTACTTGCAGTTGTTTTTTGCTCCCTGAACATCTCACATTGCCTATCAAAACTCTGAAGAAATCTCAAATCCCCTTCACTGGAAGTTCCATGTTGATTAATTTACTGAAAACATAGGCTTGCATATAGTATGCAAAATGAGATGGCTTTTGACAACATGAGGCCAGCTCCTGTCAGTAAAATATTGTTCTTTTGTCCTGGAACAGTTCAATGACTTTTAGTTTTAAGTGTGCCTGGGCAAGAAGGCCTTTTGTATTTTTATTTCAGATTTGGTTCCTGCACATAGCTACACATTCATTTTCATGGTGTTTGTAATTATTGGTTGTCAAAACCATCACAGTCTAATTGTCCTAGATATATTCTCTTCATGATTTGCGCTTTATTAGACCTGCTCCAGACAAAGAGAGAGGAAACTAATTTTTTGATATATATGTTTTTTCAGGGATTATGGGAGTTGTAGCCCTTCACCTCTGGCTCTAACTCACCACCTTGTTA